AACAATAATTATATAACATTACCATCATCATCATCATCATCATCATCATCATCATCATCATCACCACCACCACCACAACAACAACAACAAAAACAAAAGCAACAGCAACAACAACAACAGCAGCAGCAACAACAACAACAACAACAACAACAACAACAACAACAACAACAGCAACAACTCACTGATGCAAGTCTTATGGGCCAGTGTGGTCTTGATGTTCTGCAGCTCGCCATAGTTGCCCACCTTGAACACCCGGCTCTTATCTCCGGCAATGTTGTCCAGCTCTTGGTCGTTCACCCGGCCGACTCCGATAGCGAACATGTTGATGCCCTCAGCACGTGCATCCGCGGCGGCTTGTTTGGTGACCTGTGTTCTGAGAGCAGTGAGGAGACGTGAGGAAGGGTGAAGAGTTAGTTTTAGTTTTAGTAGAGGTTTTACGGCGCTCGCAACTGCATTAGATCATATGGGCGCCAGAAGATTAGAGGTGTTACAAGAGAGTAACAAACATAAAAAAGAGGAAGGGGAGATTAAGACGATAGATGTTTGATAGGAAAGAAGAAGCAAACCACACCAGAGCACCCGCCAACCACCCACAAGATGAAGAGTGAAGGAGGGAGAGGGTGGGTGGGCGTGCAGATGGATGGGGGAGGGAGTAAGCAGATGGGTAGGTGGGTGAGTGGGTGAGTGAGTGAGTGGGTGAGTGGTTGGGTAAGTAAATGAGTGAGTCAGTAAGTATTTTCTGACCGTTGGGCATTCTTTTTTGGCTCAACAACTGTTATGTCCATTTAAAAACACAACAACTATACGTGGATTTTACTGCAAAACGTTTCCAGTTTCCAGGAACACTTAAGCTTTGGAACTTACCAAACATTGGCGTCCATTCTCTGGCAAATATTACCTTTGACGCCAGACGACTCACACCTCCTTCAGTCGCAAATTTCTCGACTTCTTTTAAAAACAGATGGGTATTTTTTTCGCCAAATTTAAAACAAATTAAAAAGCTTTAAGACGATACTAACAACTATAGATCTATAAGCCAAAATATTGACGAGCGCCTGATTGCACCGTCGTGACACATTACTTTGAAGAAGTACTCACTCTTGGGAGTCTCCATCTGTGATGACGAGGCCGACTCTGGTGGCCCAGGGGCGCGTGAACTGACTGGCCAGCTGTGACTTAGCCATGTAGTCGATACCGGCACCTGTGGACGTGTAGCGGCCCATTCGGTGAGGAACCCTTCCAATAGCCTCGATCAGCTCAGCCTTGTTGGTGTATTTTGTAAGGTTGAAAGCGTCCTGGGCGAGAAGAAAAAAGTACTCAGACCGTTGTAAACGTTGGCGCTACTCTAGAATTACAAACTTCTATCTGCTCAGTATCTATCTAGACTAGTTTTCACAATCATTTTCACAATCATTTTTACATTCATTTTAACAATCATTCTATTGTACATTGCAATCGTAGAAGTACTAAGGTCTATCTGCTCAGTACCCAATTTTCACAATCATTTTAACAATCATTTTATTATTACTAGAATTACTAAGTTCTATATTATACTCAGTACCTAGTGCTAGTGTTAAGAAATTTGTCGGCAAAAAATCTGAGTTTCATAACATGTCAAGCTTTTACGAATGCAATCTTTGAATATCTTGATAATGACTCTGAATAATATTACGACTTTGATAGACTAGAACAGAGCATTTTGTTTCTGACCTCAAAGTCTTAGTAACTCAAAACAGTGACAAAAATGTCAGATAGAACTTTGTAACT